GGCTTGTTGGGCAGGCTGAGCTCACCCACAGGTTCATGGTCACTGACAACAGGGCCAATATGGTCAAGGTGGTGCATGATGCCATTTGTTGGCATCCGCTGTGTAGCACACAAGTTCCACCTCATAGTCAGGGGTGCCTTGGAGGAGGACAGGGCTCCTGGTGATGGTGCCGACACTACCACGAGCAGCAAGCTCATTTTGAAATGCAAGAAGGTGGTGGGCTACTTCCACCAGAGCATCAAAGGGGACAAGATGCTACAGGAGAAACAGGCAGAGCTGAGCATCCCACACCACAAAAATCACACAGGATGTGAAGACTCAGTGGAACTCCACATACCTGATGCTCAAAAGGCTGGTCGAGGAACAGAAGGCCATCCATGAGATGGCCTTGTTTGGGGAGACTGGGATTAGTGGCCCCCTTAACAAAACTGAGTGGGATACCATCTCCCAGATCTTAGTGATCCTCAACCTGTTCCTCGAGGCCACTGACAGCCTCAGTACTGGCGATGCCCTCCTTAGCCAGGTGATCCCCATAGTGAAGGAGCTTGAGAATGAAATGGAGAAGTTCTAGGGGATCAATGTTCCTGGTTGGGGCAAGCTGCTTTCCCCAGAGGTGCATGCACTCATGAAACGGCTGAAGGAGGGCATCAAAAAACTGCAACTACAGTCTAGTACAATCCATGTGCTGGTTAACATGTATAACCCAAGGGTGAAGGGGAGCATCTGCAACAGCAAAACCCTCAATCACTGGACAGAGGTGCTAGTGAACAGAGTCAGGGAGGCAGAAGGGCAGAGATGGGGGGACGTGGAAGAGGAGGATCCACTGTCCCATGCCAGCACTCCAAGCACCAGCCAATCTCCTCCACTTCAGCAACTGCCAATGTGGGCCAAGGGCATGGCTTCAATGTTGGGGTCCAGAGGTACCAGAGCCCACCATCTGGCAGGTAACGCAGAAGCCTTGGTGACTACCTTAACTTGCTATGGATGAGGAGCCGCTGGTTTGGTGGAGCAGCTGGTGTTCCTCAAGGTGAACCTTCCACTGCTGGGGTTCCCCAAGCTCCACATGCAGACGAAGCGAGTGCCACCCTCCTCACTCCGCACCCATTTCCTTTCTTTAGTTGCTTTCACAACCATTTAATGCCCCACTCTCAGAGCTGGAGGCGGCAGTTTAGTTTTTCACCAGCCAGCAGGGTTAGAACATCTCCCTGCTGAGCTCCTGTGCCAAGACAAACTTGGAGATATGGGCTGGGGCTATGGGAAAGTAAGAGGCTCCCAGGTCCTGGGCATGATCTAAAACTGTACCCTGCCAGGGTCAGGAGACCTGGTGGGACTGCTGGTGGCGTAGCAGCCCCAGGAAATGCCAGAACCGCAAACCTCCCTGGTGAAAGGCAGGTAGAAGGCACCTGATAACCTCCTACCACTGCACATACATGCGCACAGTCCTGGCTGGGAAAAATCCAGACCTGTAAGATCTTTGAGAGGCCTGAAGCTTACTAGTTGCAGTGAAGGTGTAAGGGTGAGAATAGGCAGGTGGCTCAGATCTGACCTGAGGTACCCTCAACTGGTCCGTGCTGAGGTCAGGACCCAAAGGTGGGGGTCAAAGGGCCAGGGGCCCACCACGAGGAATGCCCAGAGCAAAAAGGTCAGGATTCCGACTGGCCTGAAGGCAGTGCCAGGGCCTAAGGGGGAAGCAAAGGTCCCAGAGAGGGGACCACAGTGAGAGGGGGTGAAGGATGCCATCTGCAAGACAAGAGCCAGAGTGTAGGGGAGGTACAGAACTACGGAATGGATGTCACTCCTAGACATCGGGGCCTAAATGGGCAGCCTCCCACCTGGGTAACATATGACTCAGTTTTCCATCAAGGCATGGCAGGAGAAAGAGGGGCAAGCAGTTGGCCCAGAAAATGGGTGGGCGGTCCGAGATCTAACTGGTACCGGGAAGGCCCTCTGTTACAGGCTACAATCCTTGTTGCATTCATCCCACTCAACACAAGGCAGACAAGGTTCTTTGGGTCAATCTGATATCTTATATTAGACCAACTGAATAGTTGGAGAAATAGATCTTGGCAAGCTTTTGGGTTTAAAAATCCTTTGTCAGGCTGAGGAAGCATCTGCAGATGGTGTGTGCACTTGTCCTGGATGGAAGGAGTCGTAAAGAAGCTAGAGGCTGGTATGCAGGCAAGAAAGCCAGTCACTGAAAATGGAAATGGAGGCATCAGGGGGTGAAAGAGTGAAAGAGAGGCTGGGGTAGGGGGGAAGGGTGATGTACCAGGTAAAAGTGGAGAGGTATTTGGGGTGTCAGATGCCAGGCAGGTTACAGTGCGTCATAAATCCAATGTCTATATTGAGTCCATGAGTTTTTGTATGGAGGAGGTTGATGAATGAAGTTGATAGGCTCATTTGTGAAAAGTGTTTTTTAAATTCAGGTGTCAGCGGTGCTGTCTCAGGGGGTGAACCGCCAATCTCACGAGGTGCACATGCACCTGCGTGCACCCCCTATGCTTTGCCAGTGCTGTACTCCTTGTCCTCAGTGTACAAGAATTGTAATGATCTGATGCTGTAGATAATCCTACATAAAAGTCTTCCTATTATAGTTATTAGAAAACATTTTGGGGGAGTAAAGGGTAGGAATATATGAACAGTTTGTCTTAAACATTTTATTCATCATTCTAAAAGAAAATATTTAATACAACTTTTTTTAATTTTTCCAAAAAAAATTCAATTTTTCCAATTTTTTTGAAACGAACAAAAAAAAATCCTCAGAAAAAGAAAGGGGAATAAACTGTTTTTTCCAAATTGTTCTGGGTTTTTTTCCAGGCCTTCACATCTCTACACTTGTGATTTAAACCATCATCATTGCCTATCCAAGGCTTTTTGCTCATTGTTGCTTATCATCTAAGTCCCTTTCTCCCCACCCCAACTCCCAAAGTAGTCTGACCTAGAGATTCCTTCCATCAGCCATTCTCTACCTGCCCATTGGCACATATACAACAGCACTTAAAAACTGGTGGATGTAGCAGCAACTAGCAAGAACATATTAGAAGTAGCAAATGAAATATTTGGACCATAGTCTCTTATTACTGATTTCAATGGCTTGATCCATGTAGACTCCCTTGTAATAAGGCATAATTTTGCAACATCTCCCAAGACTATGCCTTTCTCACTTGCTCAGTTTCCATACAGCTCTGGTAAGAAACTTTCAAAAGGAATGGAGAAAGAGATAAACAAGTGACATACTTGGAAACTGTTGCTCCTTGAGTATTGCCAACATCAATATCTGATATTTAACACAATTAAGGCAGATGCAATTTATCTGCCAAAATTCAAGCTAGGGTGCAACAATATTTCACATTGACTTTTAGATTAATAAAGGCTTTTATTTTTAATGATCTCAGCTTCATGCTGTCATGACTTTTTCATGCCTGGAAGAAAATATTTCAAAAACTTCCTTAATATTGAACACTTCTGCATGTTTCCTGTTACTGTCTGCCTATTATTGATCCAAGACATGTCCCTACATTCTCCATAAAGTGCAAGTGTTTTTATCATTACCAAATTGTTAGCTTCTGTACTGAACTGAAGAAGGCATAATAGTTACCAGTTATAACTTCACCATGTAAAATTAAACAAGATTCTGTAGGCCATTTAATGTAGTAAATATAAAATAAAGTTACACATAACTAGTAATTTCAAGCACATTAAAATCTCACATGGAAATAGTAGGAACAGCATGAAAACTGTGCAATATGAGTCACAAGGACTTGATCGCTCATTGTCCAGTGGCTACAAGAATTACAGTTGCAAAACCTGGGAAGATAAGTGACATCCCTAAGATCACTGACTGCTTTTAAAATGTTTGGGAAGTATTAGTACATGTCCTACAAAGTCAGTGTTCCCAAAGGGGGAAAAGAGATACTTACTTAGAAAATTGGTGGCAACTCTTGGAATTTGCTTTTAAAAATAATAATAAATGTCTCCTTCCTCTAAACCAGAAAGTTTGAAAAACTGCTTTGAATATTAAAGGAAAGTGAAAGTTTTATGAGCTAACACCTAAGAACAAACTTGGAATAAATCAAAAGTTAAAAATAAAGATGAGTAGAAGACAGTGAAATTCATATTATGCAGACTTCTAAGGGGAAAAAAAAGAGGAAATGAATTCTTATGTAGAGCTGAAAAAACACAAAAGCTTAGCATTGACTAAAACATAAAGGAACTGTCAGAGACTGAAAACAAAAAAAAAGAACACAGGACTCCTGTGGACATTGCCTTGGCTTAAGGGAACGCTGTTGAAAGAAGATAATTATTGGTCTTTATGTATATTGTAGGGTATTTGATGCACCTTTAAATGGTAAAATTTGTTATTTGATATGCTGGATTTGTTAATGAATTAAATTAAAAAAAAGAAAGATAAGAAAAATAGGAACAGCATCAAGTATTAAACTCTTTCCATCATTATTAGCCCCAGTTAAAAGAAATAAATGATGCACCTGAAACAGAATATATTTGCCAATTCATTTTTTAATTTTTAAGTTTTCAGTTGTGCTGCCTGTGATGCTTAACTGTTAAACAGGGCAATCCAATAAGCCAGATGTAGCATGGAAGAGTTGAAAATTGTACAAAACCAACAACTAAATTTCCTGATTTGTGGGATTCAAATTTCACCATTAATGTTCTGGGTATCATGCAATATGTCAGAAATAAGTTTCTTAAAATATGAAAGTTGGGTGTAGTCCACAAACATGCTCATACAGCTCACTGAAATTTCATATTTAAACACAGGGTACACAAATTCTTGTTTAAATTGTGGTAGAAATATTGTTTTCCAATATGTTCGTCCTTATAGGTTTATCTGACTAAATCCACACATACATTAGGTGCATCTCTGGCTATTATATGAATATCATAATTTTTAAAAACGAAACAAACAGAAGTCTTTATAACAAATTATCTTTTTACCTCAGAAGAAAGAAAAAAGATCTAGAAAAATACTATCAGCTTACCTTACAGGTTGTATGAACAAGCACATAAATGCAGCCCAAATCAACTGTCAGACTGTCCATAGTAAAGGGCAGGACATTTTAGTTGTTTTGACATTTGCTGCTGAATGAACTGAAAAATAACTGCTAGGTCACAAACTTTTCAGTAATATAAATCATTAAATATAAACTTTGATCTGCCAACTGCACTGTTTTGTCAGAGACATTAACTGTTTGCAGAGAAGTAATGATCTTTGCAAAACTCTTGCACATAATCCTGGTTATCACAAGTAATTGAAGTAATGAGGTACAACCAGCACACAGAACAGTCTCTTTCATCAGGAATGGCTTACCACTTGAAAATAATTTTTAATCAAATGTCAAGTAACCTAACCTTAACCGACTAGATTTCACAAATATTATGCAAAAGTAAATTAATTTTAAGCATATATTTTTTATAAATCAGATTATTAGAAAGCAGAAACAACTCAGTCCAGCCAGTTCCAACTACGAAAGTAGTCATGTTTAATTACCAAAATCAAAATGTCAACCAAGTATGTTGTCTCCAACACTTGTATGCACATTAGCACACTATCATCATAGAAAAGTGTCATCCAAATGGCAATGAAAGCTCAGTGTCTAGAAACATGCAAGTGAAAGAACAATTCCAGTCTTGATATAGTGAAAATTCTTGCTTAAAGAAATATTTTTTTAAAAATACATTGGATTTTTTTTGCAGGAGTTATACCAAAAGGAGACACAAAATAAGTTATTTCAGTTCTTTGTCAGCAATACATCTCTGTCCAAAACAGTGGTTCTCAACCTTTTTTAGAACCCTCTGGAAAATGCCACCAGCTCTTAGCTTTCATTCTTTTTAACTACAGAAATATAATAGAGCAATTCTTCTGTTGCACAGAACTCTGATTACGTCAGAATGCTTTTGACATGGATTCTCTGGGTTTATCTTGTGAATGTGTAGAACTGTAGGGAGTGCTAACACCTAATACTGCATAGCACCCTATGTCTCCCTTTAAAGGACCTTGAGGCACCATGATTGACCGAGAATCACTGGTCCTATATGGACATAATAAGTTGATAAAATGTGTGTTAAGTATAAAGTACTGCCTGTTATAAAGCACGTATGCAACAGTAAGTTTTCCTATGTAAATGGATCTCCCTTATAATGACCCAATATTTTATTTTTTTTATGTGCATAAAGCTTATGGGAATTGGGGGACAAAGGGGACTTATTGAAATGGCTTGGCTTTCCAGTATATATCAGATCAAACCAATGCAAGCATGTAATGTTTATTACATTTTATTAAGAGCATGTTATGCAAGTAGACCTGCGGTATAACACATCTAACAGTGGTGTGCATTTTGGACTTGCCCTCAAAAGCAAATCTAAAATAAGCTGCATTCAAATAATAGTGTCACTGTAGTTAAGGTAACTACGCAGACATATATGGAGTTGGGTTATTGCAGTTTCAGCATTTTCTTTTTTATTTTTTAAACAATTATCAATTGCACGTTTGTTATAGAAGCCTCTTACAACCATGCCGACAACAACATTGCTAGAAGCTTTGGATCAATTCTGTTTTGCTCCCAGCATATTTCCTATGCAATACAATCATTTATAAAAGGTGGCCATTAATCATTTTAACTCATCTGAGACCAAAAGCATTTCAGAGCTAATACTTGATGAGTCTAGAGGTGAGAGACTATTTCTCTTGTATCTTTATTCAGCAAAGCACAAATACCCTTGGAACTGTTCATATATTCCCCTGAATGGAGCCTTTGAAAAGGTAGCATTTAGCTAAGAAGCTGCATATTTACAAATAGGCTTAGAGAAGTTCCCTTAATACACATTTAATAATCCTCTTTTGGACTCATTGACACTTTCTGTTTCAAATAACAAGCCCCTTAAGCAAAAGCTTCTAGGAATAGAGTCTGCCATACAGTAAACTACTCCACTACTAGTGAGATTTCAAGGCAGTTGAATTGGTTTAGCATAACCTGACAGTTGAACAGCATCATGCTTTGAGTCACTGGTCTGTATTTCTTAACAGGAGACAGTGACATCTGATACAGAACATATTGGGGGTGGGGGAAAAAAGATTCAAGAGGCACCCTTGAACGATAATTAAACTCAGAGCCTGTAACTTTAGACAGATCTCCTGGAACGATGGGGCTGATCAGAAATGCCTATATGATAAAGGTCACCAGTTCACTTTGCACGTTGGAGTGCAAGCCAATTTAAAGAGTCTTGAACACACACACACAGCTCTAGAGGGCTAATTCTCCCTACTGAGTACTATGCTATAGATTTTTTTAATTTAAGCTTCTTGATCGTTATTCATCCAGGGAACTGGCATCATAAAGCTTCCACGCCTCCAGGGGTGCTGAGCCTTGTATTGACCATCATCCTCCACCTTGGTAGCTGAAGAGCCATGTTGTAGCCGTGACAGTCCAAAAATTATGAGAGAGGCCTGGCTTTCTTAAGACAATATTTTTTATTGGATCAACTATGTGGTGGGGATGAAGTTAGACAAGCTTTCAAATTCAAGACATTCTTCCTCAGACGTGGGCACTGGGGCCGGCGTGCTTGGAAACCGTGTCTAACTTTATCCCAAAGACAGGGCTGTCCCAGTAAAAGGCTCCCTCCACTTCCTCAGCATTTGGGACTGATCTATATTTAGTTGGGGGAAAAAAACCAAAAAAAACAACCAAACCGGCGGTCCTGGCACTGCACCACTACGCACAACTTGGGGCCAAAAGCAGCACTTTTCCACAGCAATTTTAGCCTTCTCCTGCCCCTGCGAGACGAGGCCGAGATCCGCCCTGCTGCTCCCTCGGAGCCTGTCCCACAGGCAAACGCGGAAAGGGGGAACCTGCTCAACGGCCCCCGCCTCCTGCCTGCCGGGCAGCGCATCCTCCGGGGCAGACGCGGGCCCCACCCCGCGGGTCCCGCGCACCTGCCTCGCTCCACTCGGCTCCCTGCCTGCCCGGAGCCCCGGCATCTCCCGCCGCTCCTGGCCGGGGGGCGCCCGCGCAGAGGCGGTGGCGCCGCC